TGCTATCAACTTTCTCTGTCTTTGTGAATTTGAACATACATTTCTGCTCCCAGATGAAAATCTGTGGTCAACCAAATGCAAATGTATACTGAATTCAGTGTATTTAAAATGCTTGGCTTGCACTGATACGAGATGATAATTTTTTTTCCATTAGGCTGACAAGACCTACATGTTGCGAGAATACACATCCAGAGAAAGCAAAATATCAAGTTTAAAGGTATTGCATTTTTTAAACTTACTTTCTTTCTTCTTTCTGTCTGCTTTTTTGTTTTACAGTCAGCATAGAAAATACTGTGTCTGTAAGTCATTCTTTGTTAGGTGTGGAACTGATAGGGAGGAAAAATCTTTCTACTTATGCAGCATTTGTTTTAGTGGTTTCAGGATTTGCATTTGTAAATGCTCAGATCACATGGCAAGAGATGGGATTGAGTTACTTTTTCTAATTGTGAGTTACCAAGATTAATTATTAATTATTTTTTCATAGAACTCTTCAGGTATAAAATCAGGTATTCCATGTCCCCTGATGCTCAATTTCAGGCCTGGTTGTATGCTTGCAGGTAGTGTTAGAGATTAAAATCTGTTTGGTAATAGACTCATTCAGTTTTTCTCAAATAAGTTTAATACATGACCTTCAAACTCTAGGAATGGCTCAGCATAATTCATGGCACATTTGGAGTTGCAGCTGTTTATTTTTATTCTTGACTCAGCACCTGATCTTTCATATTCTTGTAACTTTCCTTTTCCCTTATTTTTCTTTCACTTGGAAAAAGTGACTAATGCTAACCTTCCAAGGGAGTATTTTTGCAAAATGTTTTTTGTCTTGTGAGTAAAGAGGCACTGTATCATTTCTTAACAATATGTGATCCCTATAAACAGGACTAAATCCAGACATGAGCTTTTTGAATAGTTTTGTAATTTTTGAAATATTAATCAGTGATCTAGGTTTTATTTCATCTCATGTTTAAAAATTATTGTCTGTGCTGTTAAGTAATTTTTCCTGCTTGTTGTTATAGAGAGGAAATGCATATGGCTTTTCAGTTCCCTAGATTAGCTTGCATAGGCAAAGCAGAAAAGATTCCTGCTTCACTGAGATTTGAAATAATTGAAACAGTGGTATGGCTCCTTGCATGGCAAGGGTAGCCAAAGTGCAGGTTGCATTTGAATAGCTCTGGATGCACTTCTTTAAGAATGTTGTTAGGAAGTTTGGAGGTTATTTGTTCAGTATAGCGTTATTTTTTTCCATCATGTGTCTTGTATATGGTGATCTACAGAGATCTCCAGAGAAAGGTACCGATTCATTTAATGAAATCACTTTATTTGTTAAAATATGAAATTAAAATCCAGTGAGTTTTAGTATTTTATATACATGTCTGTGGTGAACGTCATAAAACTAAGATACATGTTAAGATTGATCAATTATCAATAGTTAAATACAAGCAACTCTGGGGAATATATCACAATGGCTAGAAGACATGGAATCCCTTGTGGCCATCCTAGTCTCATCTAGAATTAGAACCTTTAAAAGACTGTTTGTTACATTCCCATTTTAAATATATTTTTAAAAAAATTGTAGCTGTTTATGGATGTCTCTGACTTTCTTGTGCTCTTATAATCTGCTGCTTAAAAATGTTAAATCCCTTTCCCTGGCTTATTGATCCACATAAGGATTAAGACTGTATGTCCATTTGAAGTTATAAGATAAATTTTAATAATCATACCTGACTTCAGGTAAATTATAGATTAATTGTCTGCAAAAGTTTAAAGTACTTTTTTTTCCCCTTCCTTTCATTCACTTGTTTCATATAAAATTTTTGCTTTTTAGCACGTTCCACCTTCCCTGTTCACGGAACCTAACGAGATCTCTCAGTATCTACCCATAAAGGAGACAATCTGTGAAAAATTAGAATTCCCAGAGAAGCTGGAGCCTAAACCAGAAGCATCACTGGAAACCATGTGTGTTAAGTCTAAATAAATGTGACTTTATATGGACTTGAAGTAGACTGGAGATGATGTGATCACGTATTCGTTGCCCTGGGGGGTGTTTCACTAATAGTGGAATGAAGAATTTGGCTAATTTTTCTGTAGCCTTGAGAGAAAACATTTCAAGCAGGTTTTGCTAATGGTGTTTTTTGTTGTTTTTTTTTTTAACCTGTATCTGGAATTGATGATAAGCTGGTGGTGAGTGATAATTTTCAGTGGCACTGGAGAAATGACAATTAAGAGTCTGGATTCTGTTTAATTCACCAAGTAGGCAGGAGTATTTTCTGGACCCTCCACCACTAACACTTTTATGAAGATTTTTTTATTGCTGCTTCAGATATTAAGAGATTACTGGCATTGTAAAGTTGGCGTGATTTATTTTTATTGAGAAATCATCCACAGTAAAAAGAAAAAGAAAAACTCATCTGCATTTATTTTGATCTGACAGTCCTAAACTATACATTTTGCTTGGCTTCCCCTACTGTGAGCTGATAATCAACTGTTACTCTCTGATCTAGAGTCTCACCTAAGAATATTCATTTCATCTGAGGATAGGTTTAGGGATTGGGGGAAAAAATGGATTTGTTTGACATTATATAAAGGTAAAATGACTTTCTTTGTAAAGCAGTTAATTCTGATGTCAGACAGATTTCTCTAGACAATTCTGGAGACTCTCATTTGGGGTCTGGATGCTGCTCCAGTCACGTACAATATTGGACATGCATTGTCCTGCATTGACCATTTGTTGGATGCACTGAATGGTGCCCACATGTGATGGTTATACTGCCCTGAAAGTCAAATTGCCAAATTGCAGCGTGGATTGAGGCTGGGGAAGACAGAGGTGTTTAGTCTGTAATCCCTAAAGGATGCTGTATTTGGAGTTTGACAAATGAGATCCTGTATGGCCTTAGAAGGATGCTAACATGTTCCAGATACGTAATTTTGGTTTATTATAAAGTTCTTTAAGTTTTAATATTAATAGCATTGTGATCACTTGTATAGTATGGTTTTAACACTTTGTAGATTAAACTTAAATATTTGTATTGCTTTTGGAAATCCTACAGTATGTTAATGGTTTGGCCTAAGAATGGGGCAGCTGAGCAGGCTTGTCTCGGTGTACTGCTGACTCTCAGTGCAAGAAGCAAGTCACTGCAGTGAAAAGCAGGCTGTGGTTTAAGGTGATTACAGATAAGAATGAGTATGCATTCTGTTGTCTTGGGGGTTTTGTTTAAAAAAGTTCATATTTTACACTGCATGACTTAATAGAAACAACTCACCTCAAAACCTGGTATTTAAGCAGATCTTCAGAGAAATGGTTTTCATGTAGAGAAGACCCTGAGGTTTTTAGGAAAGAAACCCCAGTCTACTGCCATCTAAGGGACTGTTTTCTTGGTGTCCTGTGTCACTGATTTACTCTAACTACGGGGAAGACACTTCTCTGTGCCTCCGTTCCCTGTATGTAAAAATGAGAGTTAATATATGCCTACCTCACAGAGAGTCTGTGGGGATTAGTTTGTAAAAAGTTATTGATTAGAATTTATTTTTTTTTCTGAATACACCTTCAGCCTTATCTTTGGAATCCTTTGGAAAGGATTACTGCAAAATATCTTATGATCCATAGGATAAAATGAGTGAAGAAAACTGAAATTAAGCAGTCTCTGAAAGAAATTGTCACCTGGACATGGTCTGTGTGACTGAATTTATGGCCACTTTGAAATAGAGGTGAGATCCTCTATATTCCCTATTACAGTCCTATATTCTGTTGGCGTTTTTTCATCTTCCGGCATTGTTTCCTAAAGATTTTGATGTCAGGGTAAAGAAGGGGGCTGCAAATAAATGCAGCATGGAAGTGATTAAAATTCATTTGGTAATAGAAGATGATTTGGGTCTGCTCTGGTGATAGAGGAGTACGGGGAGAGAGTGAAAAGGAGGGGAACAACAAATGGGGGTGAAGAGGTATTTTTCTGGTAGAAGTAAATCATGGCACTTCTTTTACTCTAAGCATAAATTATTTTACATGCCTTAAAGCTTATAAAAACACACTTTAAAGCTGGTAATGACTGAGAGCAGAGCTCATGTAGTGGTAGCATGAAGGAAACTATATCTGCATTAATTAATTAAAACTGTGATTTGGGTTTGGTCAGTGATGCTAATGTAAGCTCCATTGGGCTAAAACGTGTTGGAGGGAAAACCCACAGAGTGGACAGCAAGCATTGAAAAAGGCACTCTGCATGTTTAGCTTATACTGTGTATTTTATCTTGTCCATCATACACCCTAATCTGTGACCTGTTGATACAGTTTTATTGAATGGGCTTGTATCCTGACTATGTAGATATGTGATATCCATCTATTTTGGGTGCATTTATGTGGAACCACACATATTGCGGAAATCACAGGAACATGTTTAGGAAGTTACAGTTACTACAAGTTCAAAATTAGAGCACTTTGTGACTTTCTTATGCCACACAGATTACCAAGAAGCAGCAGCATAAACTGGTGTACTGTGAGCCTGCTGGCACAAAATTTCCACAGAAAAGTACCACTTTGGATACATAATTTTAGGGGGAGGGAGCAGGGGGGGATTCTCCAGCTGTTTTGTGGCAAGTCTAATGTGGCAGTTTATATTTTTTCTTGTTTGTTGCAAGCTAAAATGTACCAAATGTTTTATAGTTTTGTTTTTAACTGAGCAAAATAAACTGAAATAACTACTTGTGATGCTGAATTTTGCCTGCTAGTAAGATGTTGCATCCATGTGCCTTTGTCAGGAGACCGCTCTGGCTAGTTACAAAAATAAAGTGGAGATTCTTTCAGACCAGGGCAAGAGCCACAGCCGTGGGAGCGAAATGAAGTCTGTATCACTGTTTCTATGAGCTTTGCTATTGCCAAGTAATGGACGCGAAAGGGATGGGAGGAGATGGGATACAGCCACATCCGGACTACATCCCCCGTCAGCCCGCGCGCCGCCCCGGCGGCCTGCCCGTACCTGGGAGCGCAGGTGGGCGCGGTGCCTGCCGGAGCTGGTAGTCCCTGGGGAGGGGAAGGGAGGGGAAGGGAAGGGCAGCCGGACTGGCCGGGCGGGGAGCGGAGCCATGGACAAGCTGAAGCGGGTGCTGAGCGGCCGCGACGCGGAGGAGCCGAGCGGCCTGGCCGAGGTACCGCCCGGGGCCGGGGGTCTGCGAGGGCACCCAAACAACCCCTCCCCGGTTTGTTTGGAGAGTTGGCGGAACAGCCCCAGCGGAAAAGTTGCCGGTGCCGGCGATCGCGGCGTGGGCGGGAGGGCGGTCGGTCCCCCCGCGCCCCCTCTGCCCTGCGGGGACCCCCCGGGTCCCCAGCGCCGGTGGCGGTCCCGCCGCATCCCCCGCGCCTCCCGCGGCCGCGGGAGAGGGTGCCGGAATAGGACATAGCTCAGCGTCCGAGAGGAAGTTTGCACACTTGATAGGAGGCAAGGTCTACTAGTAAATAAGTTTCGCTTTTATTTTTCTCCTCGTTTCCAGGTTATTGATTCAACTTCTTTAGGTTGGGGCACCCGAGTGAAAGGCTTCGTTGCGTGTTTTGCAATAGGATGCCTGTGCTCGATCTTGGTAAGGACTTATTGCCAGGTCTCCCCGGTATTTGAGTTTCAGGAGCCCAGGTGATTGCAGCCTTGCTCTGTGCTGTTGCTTGATTTTTCTGAGTGTCTGAGAAGACGTCTGACTCGGTTCCAGTTAGATACACTAAGTCTTAACAAAAATGCTAATAAATGCGATTTACTTTTGTATGTGTGATTGTGCCATTTAGGTTTAAGGTTGGGGTTTTTTTAAGTTTCTTTTGTGATGTGATATTTCTGGGATATATTTCTTTTTCAATTTAAAAGCTATTAATTTCCACCCCCCATCTCTCTAATGTTCCTTTTTAGGGTAGTTGTCTGCTATGGATACCAAAGAAAGGGCTGGTTCTCTTTGCAGTGTTTTATACTCTGGGGAATATTGCGTCTATTGGGAGGTAACAATCTTTATAATTTAGTTTCATAATAAAGATGAGAAACAAAAGCAGAATGATAGTGCATAAGTGTTGCATTTGCCTGAGATTTGCTTTTGTAGATAATTTTCTAGTTGAATTTTAAAGAACACAGTTATCCCAGTGGTGCCCTGAAACAGTAAAGGAAATTTTAATTTTATTTATTGTTATTAGTAGTGCATTCAAGGTAGAAGTTACCCATCACTAAAGAAGAATCAAACTTAGGGCATTGAGGTTTTTGGATTTTGTTGGTTCCTCCTTCCCAAGTTAAAAATAATTCTTCTCCATTTTGCATGTGGTAATGTTCTGTGTGTTTTGGTCAATATATTTGGGGCAGTCTTGTCTGTCAGGGCAGGCATATTTGTTAGGACTTCAAGGTTCCTGAAGCATAGCCCCAGGAAGCATAGCATAGATTTGTGACAGACACAACCTTCTGTGATTGAGGAACCTTAGCATGATGTTAGAAAGTGTAAATAATGGAATTGGAAGTAATATACTAATGAGGCAGAATAACGTAGTATATGAGACAGGAATATCACTTTAGATAAAACTTACACGTTGTATAATTCATGCAATATCCACCACCAGGGCCCTAAATGAGGGCTGCAGTTCTGGTAAGGGATCAGAGAATGGATCCAGGCCTGAAAACAGTCCTTTATATAGGGGAATTGAGCTGGATTACCTGGCAATCCATGCAGAACCTCTGTGGATGGCATTCTTGAAAAGCAGATTTAAAAAGCATTTTTGAAAAGCGGGTTAAAAAAAGCATCTGTCAAGAATGATCTAACTGGAGCTGACCTTGACCCATGCTACTAACTTGACAGTTCTGCTCTGCTTATGTTGATTTTAACTGAACAGGTGTGAATAAAATTTGAAATACTCTGCAGAAAAAAAAGCAGGAATGGATTTTGTCTCGTATATTCCATAGTGTAATTATGTCCTGCATGACAACAGACAGTTTATTCTTACCTAGTTTCGCTTTTGCCTGTCCTACCTCTGTGTTCATCCTGGTTTGTTTCTCACAGCACTCTTTTTCTTATGGGACCAATGAAACAATTGAAAAGGATGTTTGAGCCTACACGTTTGATTGCTACTATTGTTATGCTAGTAAGTATCAAATGAGTCAGTTTTAACTCATGAAAACTTGTGAACAATTTTCATTGTAAAGTCTTTTGGTATACATTGATCTAATTGTGTCTCAGGATGTGTTTGTGGGTAGTGTTTTCGTTTATTTTTTTTTTCTTTTCTTAAAGCATCAAACACCCTGCAAATCGCCTATAGTAGAAAGGTGAGTGTAGCACCAGAAAACCACTGAAAAGATTAAAATGAAGCCAGATTGTTGTGCTAAATGGGCATTAAGGGTCTGTCGCTGGTGTGTGTGTACCATGCATGTGCTTTTTTAGAGTGCTTGAAGTCACCACATCATATTTACACATTTCCTAAAAAATGGAAGATGGGAAACTAGTCCTATGGACGTTGTTAGATATTTTGTTTTTCATTATTTTGTCTTTTTATATTCTATCTGATTTGCTTTAAAGAACCATGTAGGTAGTTTTACCATGATAGAATCATCTATTGCTGACAAAGCAACTGAGGGAACTATCTGCTGTGGTCACGTTGCATTAAAATTGCAGGCATCATCCCAGCTGGCTGATAACTTCAGGTTTTGAAATTTGTATGACAAAATGAAATTGCAAATTCAATGTTTAGCAGAAGTCAGCCCTTAGAATTATTTTTATTTTCAGAAGATGGAAATTATACCAAACCTACTGTGTGTGTGTCTGTGCCTGGAAGTTCTGCTAAGTTTCTTAAAAGTGAATGTTTTTTTGTCTCTGCAACTTTCCCGTTTTCTCTTGGTGAGTCTAAAATCTGGAAGGTGGTATAACTTGCATGAGACTGTCCTCCCATTTTCAGTCTGAATGTCTTCAGAGTGTTTGCTTGGCACCAGCACTTCCTAATTTCTCTTTAAACATCCTGGAATGCTGCAGAGCTTGAGAAATTGTGCATGCTTGCAGATCCAAGCAAGAAGCCTACTGCGTGGTGTATGTGTTTTGTATGCATCTAGGATGCCTGAAGTCAGGAGAATGCCTGGAATGTTGTTCACTGGAATAAAGCCAGTTGTTAGATTTATGATGCGGTATTTAGACCAATATACAAATCACCACCTTAAAACTAATGGAAAAATTACGTTTAAAGTCAGTTATCATGGTTGAGGTGAAGTGTATGATTTCTTTAAAAATGTATGTGTTACTGTCTTGAATATGCAGTACTATATCTTTGTTTTTCCCACTCAAGCAGAAAAATGCACATTATAATCTCTAGTACCACAGTGGTACACGTGTATCTAAGCCTGTTACATGTTGATGAAGGAAGATGAATTATCAGCATCTACCATAGCTAAATGAGCTGTTGTGTCTTAAATTGAAAACGGAAACTTTAACTAATAGGAGGCTTCCATTTAAACTGAGGCTTAAAGGAGAAAATAATCTGAAGTGGCCTAATGCCCCCCCCAAGATTTTAACTGTAGTAAAGAAAGACACAGTGCAACTCTGAATAAAGAAAAACCACTAGTTTGAATGAGTGTGCTGGACTTCATATATATATAAACAGGAGAACTACTAAGCAGTAGCCCAAAGTTCTTGAAAATGTATCATAGTTTTAGTTGGTAAACATTAAGTAATGACTCAGCTTCAACCCCAGGGTAACCATGTAATCATCAGGAAATGTGGCATGTGCAGAGGCAGAAAGACTCTTCAGGCACAACTCTAGTCTTACTCATGCAAAATGATGAAGTGTGGTGTGTGCCTATGACACCAAGAAGTGTGTGGGATGAAGTAGGGACTCACTGATGTTCCTTTGCAGGCACGAAATTATTTTCTGGAGATATCAGGTGATATTTTGTAATTGCTTTAATTCACTTCAGAAATGTAATAGCAAGATCATTTTAAATACAAGGAACTCTTATGCAGGATTGGATAAAACTATGAAATTATGTAATCCCTTCCTGTCTCTGTGAAGGAACCTGTTACAGTGTTACAGTATCTATAAAAACTGGAGTTGTTTCTATGTTTAAAATAAATTGTTTGTTTTCTTCTAGTTGTGCCTCGTACTAACACTATGTTCTGCTTTCTGGGTGAGTACCTGAGTCCTATATGTATATATTTATATATATGGAGTGAATATAACTGGAGTATATTTTGAAAATAAGATTCTTACACTTATGTCTCTGCTATGTTTCTTCCCTCCTCCCCCCTTCTCTCTTCCTTCAGTGGCGCAAGGCAGGACTCGCGCTTCTTTTCTGCATCTTACAGTTCTTTGCCATGGCATGGTAAGTGATTTCCTCCCCGTGTGCTCCACTTTCTATGCACCTAACATTGGTAGCTGAGTGGATTTTGACCTTGCACGAGTTAGAGGGAAGGAAAATTTTTACCTTGTCATTCCCCTAGATTCTAGACAATGCATTAGTGAGGAGCTGACCTGTTCCCACCTTTTGATCTCTCGCACCACTTCAGAGGCTTTGGAGATGGAGCTTAGGGCTCCATTTCTGAAGGAAGTTCCTTTGAACATGTTTTTAACTTCTGTGAGCTTGAAGTAAAACTGTTTTTTTTCTTTCCCTTTTAAATCAATTTGTTGCTTACTCCCTGATATTCCTCCTTTACACTCTCTTGTATTTGTCTGTAGACCCAGCTATGCCGATCAAATTGTCAGTGTTCTTCATGTTAACATATGCTCTGTGCAGGGTCACTGAAGTAGTGCACAAACTGATATGAACACATAGCCAGCCTTCAAGACTAATCTTGCCTGTCTGTAGGTGTTGGAGCATGAAGAATATTGAATGCAGGAGAGCTGTGTTTAAAATGCTTCCACAACATGCTCCCCTATTCTGCCATAGTGTTTCACAGCCTGCCTGGGCTGAGATGACTTACAAGGATGGTTATTCCTGTTGCTCACAAACTCAAAGCTTCATTTTAGTTGTGTATCTTTTAATTCAGAGTATCAGAAGGGTTGTTCTTGTTTGTGACTAATAAAATCTGACACGAAGAGTAACTTTCAAAATATTTCTTCTTAGGTACAGCATTTCCTTCATACCATATGCAAGGTAAGCTTCCCTACTCTCTTAATTTTCATCGTTTAATTAATCATACAGAAGATTACTTTATAAGAGCATTGTAATATGTGGCTTTAGAAGATTTTCCATGGTGTAGGAAATCCATGTAGTTAAATCTAAAAATAAAACTAAACAACTTCTCTAGTGGGAGAACACAAGTGGAAAAATATGTGAATCTGCTGACCGCATGCTGAACATAAGGCTTGCCTTTGGAATGCCTAAATGTTGTTTCAAATGCCACTAAACAAGAGTATTCTTCTGTGTACCTTTTTTTCCCGTTCTCCCCCATGAGCACTGTTGTGTTTGAGCATACAGTTTTCTCTCCCACCCCATCAGCCCCACTGAGGCCTTCAGTGCCTCAGTACAGCCTTACAGGTGTCCTTTCCTCTGTGGGTGGGCGGGTGGACAGTGAGCAGACCCACTTGTCTCTAAGGCATTTGTGTAGTCATGCAAATTATGTTGTGCAATTAACCCATGGCCAGCTAATCTTTACAGTCCTCAGTGTCAGTGTGATAGGCAACATAGAATGAGTCTCATCAAGTGGCATAACTGAGGTGACTGTTGCTTTTTTTTTCTTTCTCCTACCTGTAGGGATGCTGTGAAGAAATGTGTTTCGGTCTGTCTGTCCTAACAGGAATACCAGATGCTTCACAAAGTTCTAGGAAGTTCTAGATGGAACTATGTTAAGATCACCGTGTTGTGTAGTTTCCTACTTCTTAAGCACATGCCTTTCAGCTTGTTGTTAGAAGCTCCTTGTGCTGCATCCAGTGTATGCAATTGCTTAGGTTTGTAAGCAATGGTGTCTTGATCACAGGGTGCTTGTGATCAAATGAAATTCAGTCTGGCAGAAGAACTGGGCAGAAATCCAAAATTTGCTATGATAATTCTTAAGTAAATTCATGTGTTTGGTTTTGCAAATATTTCAAAGTAATACATGAAGTCTGTAAAATGAAGACCTTGGCTCAGTTGGGACTATGGCAGTCTAGATGATTTCTTTTTCTTGAAAAAGAAATCAGTTGCGAATTGATTTCTTACTGACAACTTGGTGTTTTTTTTTTAAATAGCCTTATGTCGCTTAATCTTTGCACTGTTTGCCTTGGATAATGGAATATTGGTATTCTTTCTTTTCCTGTCTCCCTGGCAAAATGTTAGTTTATGAGACTTCTAAAAGCTTTGATTATAAAATCAGAGATTGTTTGGGACTAACCATGAAATGTTTGCATCTTTAATGAAGTATTTAATTTTCAGTCTCTATTGATGGTGTTTCCTTAAAATATGTGAAAGGGATATTTTCATCCGTAAAAACTTGTTCCTGTAGGAAATGCACTTGTAAAATAAGGTTAATTGATTTTTTCAGCTGCCAGGAACCTGAGTTCTTTGCCTTGCTTACAGTTAATGGCACTATGTGCAAGGTAGGAAGCTGAAATTTTTCACGCAAAGCTGAAGGTGCTTCTCTTCTCCCTCAGCTGTAGCATAGAAGCAGTGCAAAGCTGAAGGCATGGTAGGCAAGCAAAGAGATTTTATTTATGTCCTTCCTCAAAGGACAAACTGTGATAAGGTGGATGTGGGCTATTGGTTAAGCAACTTGGGCAAGGGAGAATGCATTTTCTTCTGAAATGTAAATAGGTTAAAACGCCAACATTTCTTTTTTTGTAAGTGGGATCAGTTTCTCCTGAAACTCTGGCACATACTAGTGAACATCCTCTGCTTTGAGGAGAAAGTACAATTTTCTATTGCCTGTCTTAGCAAAGAAAGTGTGTAACAATCTAGCTGCTAGCTCCTAACAAATGCTTAGCAGTCAGTATCCAAATTCCAAGGCCACTCTCTTTATCTTCTGAGCTACATATAATCATTTACTTCCAAACCGTTGCAGTGGTCAGTTGTTTAATATCTGAGCACAGATTCCTGCTTCTCCTTTGTGAGGTACTGTTTAACTACTTTCACCTTTCCTCTGACCAAACTGTCTTCCTGGAGTCAGTGTGTAAGATATGATTATCCAGTGGACTCTGGTAGGAACTGAAGCCTCTCTTGCTCCATCCACCAAGAGTTTAGTCATTTAAAAGCATCATGTTTGCATGGCAAGTATGTCCCTGACTTGTACCACAAAGATTTTAGTGTAGGAAAAACCTAGATCTACTTGGCAGTGAATAATAAGCCCACAGTGAAGGCAGATATTCTGTGGCTTTCAGGAAGTTACTAAAATCTGAGTTAATCCAAAATCTTAAATTTAATTGTCCTTCTGATAATTTATAAAGCACAGTACCATCCAGCTGTTAGAATTCTCTAAAAAAAATAAAGGATTCCCTTTTGCAAATAGTATGAAAGGGAAATTTTAACAACCTTTCCAACCTTTCTGTGAATTCCAGCAGGCCAGAATTACTGTTACAAAGGCATTTGAACGGAAAATGCCACCTTGAAAACATGGCACTGATGTTGGGATAAATTAGTTATACAGGTTTAAGTGTTATATCCTAGTGCTTTTTTTCTCCCCCAGGACTTGCAAGTTAGTGTTGAAATAACTAGGTTGGCTATTACTCTTCTTGAAAAGTACAACTGGTTAAATGCACAAGGGAGACTGGGAATTAAAGAAAACTGATACTTCTTTTCCCTGACTAATCTCAGACAAGTATCTAAACTGATGTGTTTTGTCAGGGAGTAAGTTCAAAACCTAATTTACATCTGTCAAAGGACATGTGTTAGTCTTTTCTTAGAACTTTGAAAATGTTTACAGAATTTCTTTGTATAGGGGAAATTGAAATGCAATCCTAATGCCTTTTACATTCCAATATTTCTTTAATTTTTGGGTGTTCCTGAAAAAAGCTACAAGTATAGTACATTGTTTCTGCTTCACCTTTCCAGGAAAGTTATGTTAATTGGGGTCATCAGTCCAGGTTCATCAGCAGCCAAGATAATGGAACTTGACTTCTGGGGTTCTTTTTTTTTGATTTCTTCACATTAGAAGGAGTAAAAGCCTTTTGCTTGTTCTTTGGCTAGCTTGGGTAGGATTGTGGTAGCCTGGCTCTCTAGCAGTTCCTCTAGAAGAACAGTAGAATTGGATATGCTGAATGTTATTTTTTCAACTTGCATATTGGCTAATTGGGACCTTTGAGCTGGCTGTTGTGAATACAGCTACTTAGAAGTAGGAAATTTATGAAACTACCAATAGATAGCAGGTAAACTTATATTAATTTTTTCTTTCTTTCTCTCTGTCATCCTATTATTTTTAAAACTGTAATTCCAGCTCCACAGCCTTTATTGAATAAGAGAGAAGAACAAATCTTTATTTGACTGTGTAGCACACGAGACTAAACAATTGTGCCCTTAAAGGAAGGGAAGCCAAGGAAAGATGGCAAAGACACAAGGATCACCATAGTGCCACTAGGGTTTTTGTTGCCCTTTGGTGTTGTGCTCTGTTCCTGTGAAGGCCAGACAATAGCACAGATTAGCTGTATTCTTGCCAATATGTGAAACATACTCAGGGTTTGTTGCTTCATCTACAAGCAGTTTTGATTTAAAATAGCTCTATCAGAACAAAACTCTTTAGATTCTTATTCCCTTGTAAGTAGTTGTGTTCAAGCTGTTGCCAAGTTTAACAGCAAAAGAAATTTCCACTTTATTAAAGTACTTTATTTTATATGATTTTTACATAACCAGGGAGTAAACTGGTATATGAATGTTCCCTCTTGACTAGTTTTCAATCTGACTTAGATAATACCATAAAACCTTTTTTTTTTTGGTCATTAAAACCACTTTGTGTTAAATTTTAATATCATCCACTTGGCAGGAAGCATGGTGGGCATTTCTGAAGCTTTCTATCTTAATGTTGTACAGTGCAGGAGTGTTTGTTGTCAGCAGTCTATTGCAAATGGAGATGTTTGTGGTTTAAATCACAAAGCTCCTTCCTTCCCAAAGTCCTTGCTCAGTTGCCTACAGCACTTAACTGAAGGCTGACTTCCCTAAAGAAACTTGTATGACATTGGGTGCCTATCCCAGTAGGATTTGGTGTTCTACCAGAAAGTGCTTTTTGCCTAGCCTCACCGTTGATCAACTTGTCCACTTTTTTATTTGCAGTACAGATATCATAACCTCAACCAAGCAGCCTTAGCATACAGTTCTAGCAAGAAATGTGTTTATCTGGGATCAGCTGACTTTCCAGCTATAGTAGAAGTGGAAATGGGAAGGTGGTAGTCATCTGAGACTCTGTAAATCAAAATGTGGGATTTTTTTTCACTACTTCAAAGTTTTGCTCTGTTTTATGTGATGAAGTCCACTGTGAATGCTGGTACTATCTGAGATGATTCTACACTGATGATGTGAACAATTTCATCTCATTTAGTATTTGCAGTAATGAGATTGTTCATGAGCTGTTACAAAAAACCAAGAAATATTTTCTCCACCAAGTTGAAAGTCTTTTCAGAAATCACATTTTAAAAAAGAAAGTGTGTTAGGCTCTGTAGGTGAATATGCAAATTGAGGGGAGATTGGAGACTACTACAGGATGACTTCGAGCTCGGAACAGGATGACGGGCTTGAATCTGTCATAACTTGTGGATGGATGCAGCTGGTGTGCAATGCCTTTGGAGGCTCACGGCACTGTCCCTTATGAGTGGTCGGAAGTACGTGTTTTGAGAACTGCCTGTGGAGCAGTGTGGGTGCTTGAAGCTCATCCCCTCTTGCTGGGTGCTCAGAGATTGAAAGAACCTCCAAATTTCTGAGAACGGCTCTTACTTAATTTTGGTACTTAATCATGTTCCTGAAAGTAAGATCACTGTGCTATTGTAGACTCCCAAAACCGAGGAGGATGTTTAAACACGTTTGTCTTAGTACTGATGTTTACAACCACAGCAAATGCTGGTCAGAAATGGTGTATTTTCTTAAAAACCATGTGCCTCGCTCTAATGTGACCACTAAATTTTTCTAACAGCTGTGGAATTGTTTTGTAAAATAAAAATCAAATTCCGAAATTCTCCACAATATTTTATACTGTTACTGATTCTGTTTCCTGCTGTGCTTTTTCTATGTATTTTACACTGTTTTATTTCTACTTTGATAAATACTTTTTTCCCTAATGTACGACTTTCTCTGTAATGAAGTGAAATCTTTGCAAGTGCTGTTTTTTTCCTTCAATAAAGTTTTCCTTGCATTAAATGAATTGTTCTTATGGTTAATATGGCATTTTTAATGATGCTGATTCTCCAGGTGATGCTGAAATTGCTCTGGGTTGTTTGTTTTCTTCTGTTTGTTTGTTTGGGGTTTTTTTCAAAGTTGTTGTCTTGTCCTCAATTCCTTTGCTGTGCACACAACATGTACTTCTAAGGGGAGTTTCTGTGTCACCACTGCTGTGCAGGAGCTTCACCCAGCAGTTGCATGCACCTAGACAACTGGTTGGCACAACTGGAGTTGTTAAGGTGGGGATGATATTTTTACTACTCCTTATTTATTTACTTCAAGAGTCAACCTAGATATGCCAACAAACTATCATTAGTCCATGCTACAGAGCATAGAATGCCTGATGCCATTCTGTCAGCAAAGACAACAAGAAGCAAGATGCCTCTGAAATAAATATGCTCTGAGTGCTGATTGTACACTGGAACTAAAATACCAATGATTTATGAATGTGTGTTAAAAATAGTTAGAGGCAATTTTTTTTTTAACTTTCAGAAACCTGGTCCTTTAAAGTTTGTGCTTAATATGTGTCCAAACACTTGCTGTGGTTTGGATATTTCAATCCAGTATTATTACCATAACCCAGTATTCCTTGACAGAGTATCAAGGCTGTGTGTCAGGCTGTTCAGGGTGTATTATCCTTTCTCCTGGTTGACAGGCAGTTGTGGGTCTGGGTTGGGTTTTTTTTGTTTGCAAGGGTGGTGGTGAGATTTGTGTGCTGTGGGAGACTGTGTTTTTTCAGTTACCTTTTTTGTTTTGTTTTTTTTTTTAACTGTTCTCCTAAACAGTCTCTGTCTCAAAACTGACTCAACTGAAATTTCTGTCCTCAGGGAGACTCTAAAGTTGTGTTTGTAGAAGAAGCAGCAGCCTGTCTTCCTGTAATATAGAAACCTAGGGGGTTGCATTTTTATGTCTTTGAAAATGATAGAGCTTCCAAGGAATGTCAGGAAAGCTTGATACATCTATGTCATATCAATCCAACTGTGATTCCTAAAAGGACAATAAATCCTTCCCATATCTGACAGCTTAGAGGTATTTTGCTTGCCTAGTTCAACCTCCTGCATAACAACAAAGCTGTTGAACTTTGCCACATCATTCTCATGCTAAGGTCTTAATACTTGAATGATTTTAAAAAAATAAAAGGAGTGAAGTGTTCATTTGTAATCCCTAAACAGTGATCAGTTGCCCTCTATGGAAAGTGCATTCTCTTGATGAATGACTTTGCTCCTTAGAAATACTCTGAAAGGGTTTATCAGTTGTGCTACAGCATCTAGTCCCTGAATCCCATGATCTTGCATTCAAAGTCACCAGCATTCAAATTTGGTGACAAGACCCTTGGAAGGTTGCTGTACTCCTAATGTCTGCCCCTTTCCCTTCTCCTTCCACAAGCTCTGATTTGCAAGAGAAGGTATTTTCTGGATGCGAAGTGTTCAAAGGTGGGGGTTGATACTTATTTCCGCCCCTTACTTGTACTTTTCCTACTGACCTGTCTTGGTTGCAGTATTAGTGGGGGTACAGGTTTGTAACTGCCTGGCCATGTGCTGGAGATGCATAAAGGGAAAAAAATCCTCTTTTTTTCTCACTTTTCAGAAGAAAGCTTCTGATGAATTAGAGATGGAATAGTATATCTTAGCTGCCAATCTTTGGGATTGATATTTTATCAAGTTAGCCTGGTTGAAACCCTTTTAAGTTTCTCTTGCATTCCCTCGTGGCATCTCTAAGAGAGGTTATTCTTGAGAATTTGTGCTTGAAAATCTCTGTAGGAAAAAGTGTGAAATAACACTGGCATAGTAAAAATGGTACCTTGAAAGTATTGTCTGGCCAACATGATTTCATTACAGATCTGAAGGGCTGTCGGTCCAAAAACTGGAGAAGGACTGTTGAGAGCTGAAGAGGTCCTTTAATACAAGGGCATGTAGTGACAGGACAAGGGGGAATGGCTTCAAACTGAGAGTAGGTTTAGATTAGATATTAGGAAGAAATTCTTTACTGTGAGGGTGTTGAGACACTGGAAGATGTTACCCAGAGAAGGTGTGGATGCCCTGTCCCTTGTAGTGTTCAAGGCCAGGTTGGGTGGGGCTTGGAGCAACCTGGTCTGGGGAATGGTGTCCCTGCCCATGGCAGGGGTTTGGAACTAGAGGATCTTTAGGGCCCCTTCCAACCCAAACCATTCCATGATGCAACATGTGGTGTGAAAACGAATATTTTATCATGGGCATGTACTTCTGTGGTTTCTGGTTGTGTGTAACAGTCTGTGTCAAGTTCACCACTCCTGAGAGAACCAAATACTTCAACAGAGTTATACTTGTCACTTGTTAACTCTCATAGTTAACAAAAAGCTTTAAACTTACACATCCAAGTCATAAGTGCATGTTTGATTTGCCCAATAAACTTTGAGCTTATTACTTATGTTGGGATGTTGTAAATAGAATTAAGAAGTTCATTTAGAATCTTTTATTTTTTTTATTATTTTCTGAAAAGAAAGATTGATTGCAGCTCTCTGGGCTGCAAATTAATCTCGGTTATAATCTCAGATATACAATGAGGTACTATTTGAACAAGCTGCCTGCCTCACTGCTAAGAACATACCCAGTGGAAGTTATTGAAACTGTCCCCTCACCACCAACATTAATGAAAAAGCTAATCTTCTTTAAGTCTCTTCTAACCTAGCAATCTCTTAAGGGGCTGGATCCATGATTAAAAAACAGAAGGAAAGCAGCTGTCTTTTTATCCTTCTTTAATTATTCTGTGGTAGTTGATAGGTGTCGATTTCCTGGCAGTGTCATGGTGATGGAGGTTACATTTCCCTATGTTGGGACTGAATGTTCGGAGGGGGGGTAGTTGAATGCTGCAGTGGGAGCTTTAGAGATGGAAAGAGTGAGTCTTTTCTGCAATTTCATCTGATGATGAAGGGCTGCCTTTTATTTGGAAACACGCACCTAAAGGCCAAAAAACAGCTATCCAATGTCAAGGCAAGAAAGGCTCTTTAATTACCTTTTTTCTTGGTTTTTTTTTTTCTTTCTTTCTGTGTACCTCACCAGCTGGTGGCCAGGGGCATTTTAGAACAAGCTTAATTAGAAAGTCAAAAATAACCCCTTGCTTTTTCCTGCTGTAACTTGGTGAGTAAACTCCAGTAAGTGTTGCAGGCTTGTTCTTTCACTGCTCTGCCCAGTCCTCGTGGCTTCATTTAAAATTAAGAGTCACTAAATACTTATTAGTAAATCAAAGATGATTATGAGTGCTGTGCTTGCATTTTTAACTAGTTCTAACTGGCTATGAGCCACAAAGTGTCTGATCCCTCCTTGGAAGTGCCCAGCTCTCTCAGCTGGGTTTCAGGGAAAGCTTACAACATCGCAGGTTTTTTAGGAGAATTTTCTGTTCCCTCTGATGCACCTACAGATTTGCTTGTCTAATTAGCAGGAAATAAGTGCTAGAGGGGTAATAGTCTTCTGTACTTTAGCCCTGCTCTGTCCCACTTGCACTGGCGTTGAGTGACAGTCACCAGAAACACCTACTGTGCTCCTCTGTAAGTGCAGCTACCTTTTCACAAATGTTAGAATCGGGAAGCTTTAACTTCCAGCCCAAGAAATAACCCACCTGACATCTGAGAATGGATTATTCTCAGTGCCCCAGCAATACCTACACCAGGGATATTAATCTGTTTGTGCTTCAGTTTCAGCACCTGTAGACTTGGAAAAATTAATCTTGCAAGAAAGCAGGAGAAAGAAGGGGTGTTTGGAAAGCATTCAAAGTTGTTATTTAGGTGAACAGAGGGACATAAGATTAGATTTACTTCTCCTAAAACAGGTAAATATTCAAAGTAGATTTCCACCCATAAAATTTTTGTAAAATGAAAAGCCAACAGTAAACAAATAATTTTGTGTATGAATCTATCTGGTTTCCCTTCTGCAGCCATCTTCCATGGCAGCTGTGTGACACAGAGACAATGTACAATTTCTAGGAAGCCTGATTCGTGGAATGGGGTTCGTATTGGTCTGGATGTGTATTTTAAAGTAAAGTCTCAGGCCGAAGTACATTCAGCTGATCATTTGCTCGTGTGCATGCAAACTTGTTATTTCTTTGGCTATTTTTTTAGGTTGGAAAGATATGTCAGTGGTGAGCTGTGCCTTCTGGATATGTTGCTACACACATTGCAAATTACTCTTAGGCTGAACTCTTACAGCTGAAACACCTTTCCCTATACTGAAAATAGTAATTGGGCTGTTCCCACTAACCTAAGCAAGCACATTCATGCTTCTTCCTTAGGAATGCTAGATGTAAAAAATCCAGTCTTATTGATGAAAAACTTGCTTCCCAACCCGTTACTGGAATGGGTCCATTATCCATTCCTTCCATATACCCTTCCTTCTCTACAGCTCAGTCCAAGGAGTGCTTTGGGCAAGCAGTGCACTCTGAGCAGGACATCCCTTTCTCTTGCTTTGTGGCGGTCTCCATTTCCAATCCATCTTTGCTGGGCTTATTCTTTACCTCTAGTGATGCACCACTGTCTGCTGGTGAGAAGGTGTTTCACTTCCTCATTTGGAAACCCTTCCACCAACATCAACTGTTGTTACTTTTGTGCATGCTTTTAGTTTCCTCTATGCTCTAAGCACCTCGAGGAAAATAGACTGGATGTGATTTTTTGGAGGCTCCTATCTGGTATCACTCCACTTGAAGCCCTGTGGGAGAGATGGGCAGCCAGTACTTTTAAAAACCAGGCTGCTTCCCTTTTTATTTGTTTATAGAAACAACTGTGTGTAATTATGGTTCCACGATTCCATGATTCTACTGAAATATTACTACTTTTATGAGCTATTGTCTCTTTACTTGTCTCAACTTTGAGTCTCCTGATTTCTGAGCAACTGAATCTAAAAAAAAGCTGTATAGAAATAGGACTTCAACCAAAAAAAAAAAATCTCAAAATAGCATGTCTCTGTTTTAGAACTGACTGAAAAGCTGAAGATGTTGATTTGAAATTCATG